TTCACATGAATTTCCTACAATTTCTAAAAATGCTTAATTTTAGGGATGAGTTAATGGTTAATTTTAGGTACTAGGGTCAGGGACATGATGTCCAGAGTAAATAAAGATAATTTTAGGCTTTGGGACTGTTGTTTTGGTGCATTTTCTATACTTTCTGAAATTATGACGACGGATTCCGCCCCATCTCGTTAATAACTGACACGAGGGGGGTACCCGACGCGTCAAAATYGGACGCAGAGGGAACCTTGTAAAAGCGTCAATATGTGACGACTTTGGAGTGAGAATGGGTTGGTGAGGCAGTGTTCACCGAGTAGGAGCTCATCCAACTTCACAGCAGTGATGTCGTTATACAGACGTCCAACGAGTACATGATTCGAGTAACTTTATTACTGTTATTACTCAGAGTGGCCTGCGTTAGAGTCCACTTCCTGCTTTTGGAGCGTTCTTTGGTCAGCTTGGCRTTCACACATATAATCAAACTGCACCAGAGTTCAATTTAACTGAACCGACCTAGTTTTGCAGGCGGATCAGAGTTTGCTTTTTTTGGTCCAAATCAGAGTTTGATAACCTGTCCACACCTCCCCAAACAAACCAGACTTTCTAGACAAACAAACTAGAGTTTGATTAAAGCGGACTAAACAGGTTGGTGTGAATAGACCCTTAATGACGACAGTGATACCCTACAGTTAATGCTTTTGTTGTTCGACCACCGGAGTTCCTTCAGGCTCTTTGAGCAGATGAGGACGTCGTGGATCTCCTCAGTCTGGATGACTTGAACATAATTGAAGGCAGCCACCTGCTTAATTCAGAGCACCACACACCCTGAGGCAGAATCTGATTTAAATCTGTTTTCTGGTGCTCTGGTYGGAGGGCAAAGGCTCCTTTTTAGTCTGTATGAGTTATTTACATTGTAATTTGCATTCCAGGAACGTTACAAGCAACTGACACATATGATGTTACAGGGTTAATACTCTAGCTTTTTTATCTGTAGTCAAAAAATCATATTTTGTAGTAGAAAAGACTGGACTTCATGATAAAGTCAAATTTGACTCAATTTATTGTATTCATGTAGTTGTTAATGTTGTAGTCAAGACCACCTAACCTGAGACCAAGTCAAAACCAAGACCACAGTGTCTCGAGACCGAGACAAGAACAARACTTTTAGGGACTAGACCAAGAGAGGGAGAGACCGAGTCAACTAGTGTCCTAGAAGACAAAGTATTCTGTATACATGTAGCTAATGTATAGAGCTAATATTGACAAAATCTTTGTGTGAGGGCATAAGAAAGAATTTTTCTGCAGAGGCAGATTGTTCATATTAGAGACGGTAAAAGTTTGAGGCTGTCCCCACGTCTCTGAAAGTGAAGCGCTGCAAAATTTACAAGTTACTTTCCGATTTCTCTTGGTTGTTTTGTTACGTTTTAACTAGGAATGGACCCAAATCCAGTCGGAGAAATAAGTTTTGCAAAAAGTGATAATATTTATTAT